ATTCAAAACCTCAGCTCAGGACACTACAGCAGAATTGGGCAAGAGGAAAATAGATTATCCTATCCAGTGGGAGATCCTTGCTTCTACTGTTAAAGTAGAGAGTAGGCCCCACGAGTTTCTATAATGGTGTCACCCACAGTGGGAACACTGGAGGAATGACTAGTAAACCCACATTTGGGAAAGGGACCCAAGTGACAGTAATATCTGGTGAGTTGTCTCAGATGGCATCATTTGCACTTGGAATGGAGCAATGTCTTTAATCCTTTCCCTGGGGATATCCATTATTATTACTATAGTGAGGCTAACTGTGAGTGTCATCACTAATTGCTGTGCAGAGGTCTGGGAAGAAAAAAGGCATCACTATCAGTTGTAAATATTTGTGTTGCTCTAGGTGAAACACATTACAGTTTGACTTTAATCATTCAGTAGATATTTTTAAATGCCTTCTAAGTGGCTATCATTCTACAAAATGGTAAAGTATGTATAAAGGATCCTAAGATATAAATGTCTGACCTGTCCCCAAAACTATTTTAGTGTTCACAGTGATGTAAACAGGCAAATTCAGATGGACTAGAAGCTGGGCTGAAAAGGTACTCTGGACAGAGATGTTTTATGTGGTAGGAAGGACTCATTGAACCTTAAAGGATAGATGAGATCTGTATGGAAAAGATACAGAAGAGAAGTGGAATCCTACACATAAGGAACAATAATAAAAGAAGGTATAGCCAGGCAGTTGTGGTTTACACCTATAATCTAGCTACTTGAGAGGCTGAGATTATGGAGGATTGTAATTTGAAGCCAGCTAGGGAAGCAAAATTCATATGACTCCATATCTAAAAGAATTATCAAAAAGCAGGACTGGAGCCAGGCACTGGTGGCTCACACGTATAATCATAGCTATTCAGGAGGCTAGATCTAAGGATTGCGGTTCAAAGCCAGTCTGGGCAGAAAAGCCCCCATGATACTCTTATTTCTAATTAACCACCAGAAAACCAGAAGTAGAGCTGTGGCTCAAAGTAGTAGTGTGCTAGTCTTAAGCAAAAAGAGCTCGGAGACAGTACCTGGGCCCTCAGTTCAAGACCACAACCAACAAAAAGCAGGATTAGAAGCATGGCTCAGCTGATACAGCACCAACTGAACAAGCAATCCACACAAGTGCAAGGTCCTGAGTTCAAGCCCCTACACCAAAAGAAGTTATGATGTTGTGAATGAGCAAGGCCTAAGTAAGCATATCTGATCATGAAGTTGGATTGAGAGAAAACAAGGCAAAAAGGTGTCTTCTTAGACAAGTAGGATAAGAAATATGAGAGCCGGGCTGGGAAGGTGGCTCAGTGGGAGAGTGCTTGCCTTGCATGCCTGAGGCCCTGGGTTCGATTCCTCAGCACCACATAAGCAAAAAGGAAAAAGCCGGAAGTGGTGCTGTGGCCCAAGTGGTAGAGCGCTAGCCTTGAGCTATATGACAGCCAAGCCTTTAAAAGAAGATAGACATTAGAGAGCCAGGCCAGCCACTTGGAACCTGAGTATGGATTTGGAAATGTTGACCAGATGGGAAGTGAGAGGGATCAGCTCTTTCCATGGTGGCTCCTCCCTCAATGGGCTCTGGGAGTGGTTATCCATCCTCCAGAGAGTTGAAACCTAAAGGTTTCTGTAAGGACGCTTGGGGAATAGTATGCAATTGTTGCCTCTCAGATTCAGTTTGGCAAAGGCACGAGAGTTCCGTTTATTCCCAGAAAGACTGCCCATGTTGTTTCCTGATGCTCTTCAGAGGTTCCATGGGACACGAATCAGTGTCACTAATTCATTTCTGGATTCCTAGTGCTTAAGCGCAGAGCACATATTTAGTGGTAAAGCAGCTTTCAATCACTGCTGTGCCCCTGGGTCTAAAACACTAGAGTATTCAGACATGCGTTTCTGCAGTTATGTTAGAATTATGATGACAGGTTAGGATCTAGAATAGCTCAACTTCCAGTTGAAGATTGATCCAGTCTTGCTCAGGCTGTCTTTTGCACTCATCAGTAACACACTATATTTTTCTTTACCAAGTACTATGGGATGGCTCTTCCTCACAAGGCTTAGGCCGATGAACACTAAAGATTAAATTAAAAGTGGTTCATTTCTTACTTTAAAGAGGGAGTGGGGATGGAGGGAACAAAATAGGCAATGCACTAGAAGAAGTACACAGAAATAAAAGCGGGGGAAAAAAACTCATCTAGCAGATGAACTCCAGTGGCTCATGCCTGTAATCCTAGCTGCTCAGGAGACTAAGATCTGAGGATCCTGGTTCACAGCCAGCCTGAATAGTAAAAGGCCTTGTGACTCTTAACTCCAATTAACCACTAAAAAGTCAGAAGTGGAGCTGTAGTTTGAGTGGTAGAGTGCTTAGCTTTGATTTAAAAAGCTCGAGGACAGCACCCAAGCTCTGAGTTCAAGCCCCAAAAACAAAAACAAAAGAAAGGCAAATACCTTTGGTGCAAAAATCTTGTTTTTGTCTGCAAAGGGGACATCCAAAGCTATAGATGTCAGACCATACAGCCCTCCCCTGCTCAGCTGCTTTGGAGCCAGCCTGTGCTGCAGGCAAGTTTGACTCAACTTCTCAGGGTCTATGCCAAAGCTGACTGCTCGGGTTTTAGATCCAGCTCGATGTCTGCACTGCCAAGGCCACCCTGGCTGGTTTAGTAACAGGGTGCACCAGTGTGTGATGAGAAACTGAGGGAGCAGAGAACCACAGAGGCAGGAAGTTCTGATCCCAGCCCTGCAGGAAACGCTGTGGGTGGCCCCAGTCTGTTAATCCTCCTGGCAAATCTCCCAGGTTCCTCCTGTAAAGGTGGAGGTCAGGAAGAATAAACAATGAGATGCATTCAAAACACAAAATCCACAGGAAAATAGTAAAGAATGAGTCTCTGCACTAAGGAAAAGCTTCCAGCACCTCCTGCATCCTAGAATGAAGAGTAGACAGTGTGAGTCCTCTAACTCAGTACCATGTGGTAACCCACATTGGAAACACCCTGGCACAGCCATAGTTCCAACTGCCTCCATTTGTTCCATACTGTGCTGACTATTAAACATACTGTGTCCATGATAATGACAATTTGCCTTGTGAAAGTTAAAATGTGTTTGTGACTCTAAGTATCACTATTCCATAATACTGTGAAATTTATGTAATCACCTAATCTCAATTAAAGAAAAAAGTGAGAGAAGGGATGGGTTAGAGTGATGGGTGACAATGTTGTCAGACACTGTACTCATATACTGTTTTGTAGAATGGGAACTTCTTTGTACAACTACTTAAAGATAATTTAAAAAATTGTAGTGAAAAAACTAAATAAATAAACATACTGTCTGTGTCTGTGAGAGAGAGACAGAGACAGAGACAGAGAGAGACAGCCATACTAGGATTTGAATTTCGGGCCTTGAGCTTTTGGTTTGCTTTTTCGCTCAAGGATGGCACTCTACTACTTGAGTCATACCTCTACTTTCAGCTCTTTTGTTGGTTTAATGGAAATAAAAGGACTGCAGACTTTTCTACCTGGGCTGACTTCAAACCATGATCTTCAGATCCTCAGCCTTCCCAGTAGCTAGGATATAGGCATGACCTATTAGCACCCAGCTAATTAAGCATAATTTTACCTGGAAGAACATGATTTGGGGCTGGGAAGGTGGCTCAGTGGTAGAGCACTTGCCTTGCATGCATGAGGCCCTGGGTTCGATTCCTCAGCACCACATAAACAAAAAAGAAAAAAGCCGGAAGTGGAGCTGTGGCTCAAGTGGTAGAGCGCTAGCCTTGAGCTGAAGAGCTGAAGGACAGTGCCCGGCCCAGAGTTCAGGCCCCACGACTGGACCAAAAAAAAAAAAAAAGATGATTTGTTTCTCAGATTAGCTTGCTCAGAAAAGGGGATAACATAACATCTCCATTTACCAGACAAAATTTCTAAGACTTTAAAGAGCTGGTATGACTAACTCAAAACCTTTTCTCTGGTAAATACAAGAGTTGTGACTTTGATTCGGATGTTGTTGTAGTCCAAATATTTTAGCCATGAGAGAAAAAACTCCTAGTGATATAAGATTTTCCAATTTAATGTCAGCAAATCATACACATCCATTTCCTGACAATGCCCAGCCTAAGCGAGGGGAGCACTCTAAATCTCTAGATGAAGGCTTACTTTACTGAGACTTTTTTCTCTACACTAATTTTGTCTCTCAGGAGCAATATTGTTGTTTATTGGGGTTTTAAAGAAGTTCCACTTAAGAAGTATTTAAGATATATCATTAACACCAAGCACCAGTGGCTCATACCTGTAATCCTAAGAACTCAGGAGGCTGAGATCTGAGGATCAAATTTGAAGCCAACTTGGGCAGAAAAGTCCTTAGGATTTTTTTTTTCCAGTCCTTGGGCTTGAACTCAGGGCCTGGACACTGTCCCTGAGCTTCTTTTGCTCAAGGCTAGCACTCTACCACTTGAGCACTACTTCCAGCTTTTCTGTTTATGTGGTACTGAGGAATTGAACCCAGGAGAGGAATTGAACCCAGGACTTCATGCATACTAGCCAAGCACTCTATCATTAAGCCACATTCCCAGCCCCTTATGACTCATGTCTAATTAACCCGCACAAATCTGGAACTGGTGTATGGTTCAAGTGGTAGAGCACTAGCCTTGAGTGAAAAAGCTAAGGAACAGCACTCAGGCCCCAGTATGGCACAAAAACAATAATAACAAGTCTATATGTATATGTGTATATGTATACAAATATGTATATGTACATATATACATACACAAGTAGACATATACATATATTCATATATATAAATAAGTACCCTACATTTCTGGTTTTCTAGAATGGTAGGAGCAGTTGTTTTCTAAAATATTACCCAAAAATATGAGAAGAGTGGCTAGCCCCAAAGAGATCCGTTGCTATCCATCATTGGCACCTGGACTCAAGCCTAGATTGAGGTAAAACAGGGAAGCAAGAGTTTCTCCTAATCATGGTCCTCTTGATCCACAGATATCAGAAACCCTGAGCCCTCGGTATACCAGATGAAAGACCCGAAATTCCGAAACACCTCCATCTGCCTGTTCACTGATTTTGATTCTCAGATCAATGTGACGCAGGGGTCTGAAGCCATGGATTCTGAAGTATTTTACTCTGGAAAAACTGTGCTGGACATGAGGTCCATAGACTTCAAGAGCAATGGTGCAGTGGCCTGGAGCAAAAAGACTGATTTTGAGTGCACTGGTGTCTTCCAGGAGAAAGTCTCCCTCCCTAGCTCAGGTGAGTGTCTCCCAGTAGCTCTGCAAGCTGTTTCCTTGCTTTCAGGAGAGCCATAGTTCTATCCAAAGCACAGGTCAGTGATGTCTAAAAGATGTTCAGGTTGATATTGACAGGCTTATCAGTTGTCAGCAAAACCTTCACCCTCTTTTTACCATAGAGCAGTGAACCACATCCTGCTATGCTGCAGAATGTTTTGGGCCAAAAGCAATGAAGAGAGGATGGTGGTGCTGGGTGCTGGTGGTTCATGCCTGTAATCCTAACTACTCAGGAGGCTAAAATCTGAGGATGGCAATTGGAAAACAGCCTGAGTAAACAAATCTGTGAAAATCTTATCTCCAATTAATCAGCAAAAAGCCAGTCATGGAGCTGTGGCTCAAGTGGTAGAGCACCAGCCTTAAGCATAAAAGCTAAGGGGCAGTGCCCAGGCCCTGAATTCAAGCCCCAATACTAGCAGAAAAACAGAAAGAAGAAAAGGAAAATAAAAAAGGAAGGAAGGAGAAAAGAATAAAGAACAGATGGCAGTGGTGGACACTGACTCAAACTTGGTCTTACCTTAACACATTACAAGTCCCCCCCTTCCTGCTGTTGTTTAGGGTAGCCACTCATTCATCCCACAACCACCAACTGTGCAGTTACACATACCAGGCATTAGAAAAATCAAGTCAGATTAGGGTTCTCCTCCTAGGAAGCTCCATCTTCATCAAAAAAGGAAAAATTCCTGGGAAGGGCAGGTCACAGGTATCACAGCCATATGAAGGAAGATACTATTCTAAATACACTGGGAGGGCTGGGAAGTGGCTCAGTGGTAGAGCGCTTGCCTTGCATGCCTGAGGCCCTGGGTTCGATTCCTCAGCACCACATAAGCAAAAAGAAAAAAGCCGGAAGTGGTGCTGTGGCTCAAGTGGTCGAGCGCTAGCCTTGAGCTGAAGAGCTGAGGGACAGCTCCCAGGCCCAGAGTTCAGGCCCCACAACCGGACCCAAAAAATAAATAAATACACTGGGAAGCTACTGATTGGCTGTAAGCTGTAAAGTAACTCCCAATTTACATGTTTAAAAGATCAAGCTGGCTGGGTATCATTGACTCATGCCTGTAATTATCCTGGTTCAAAGCCAACCCAGGCAAAAAATGTCCATGCAACTCTTATCTCCACTTAACCAGCAAAAAGCCAGAAGTGAAGCTGTGGCTTAAGTGGTAGAGAGCCAACAGTGAGCAAAAAAGCTAAAAGACAGTGTTCAGCCCTATGAGCTCAAGCCCTAATGCACACATACACACACACACACATACACACACACACATCAAGCTGTGGGAAGAGTAAATAATATGCCAAGAGTAGTAGCAGAAGAAGAAGAATGGAGGGGCTTGGACTAGTTGAATGCAGGGAGTTGAATGAGCAATGCCACTTGAGTTTCAAAGATACACCCAGGCAGACATGAGAAGGACAACAAAGCATTCAGGGTGGTAGTTGGACATGATATCTTGACATGAAGAGAACAAACCAACATAGCTGGGGATCAAAACTTTCTGGAACACATAAGAAGCCCTATGGGCCTTGTCACTATGTATCTTCTCAGTGCCCCTATATGACTATGACTGGAGCCTTCCCAAGGACAGTGTCTGTGTTGATGGCTCTTTGTGCTCACATCATGAAGCCTGTGTCTTGAACAGCCAGTATTAGTTGAATGACGTGGAAGCCAAGGTGCCAGTCTTGTCAAGGCCGTGGCTGCCCTCGTAGGTACCCTAAGCAACAAGCTCCCTCACCAGGCTGGAATGTAGCTTAATGGTAGAGTGCTTCCCTAGCATGCATGAAGCCCTGGGTTCGACTCCCTAGTACCACATAAACAGAAGAAGCCGGAAGTGGTGCTGTGCTCAAGTGATAAAGTTGCAACCCTTGAGCAAAAGAAGCTCAAAGACAGAGCCCAGGCCCTGAGTTCAAGCCCTAAGACTGGCAAAAAAAAAAAAATCTCACCATGGAAAGGTTGCTAGTCATTCACTGACATAACCATTGGGAAGGTCTGGGTAGAAGGGTCAGCCTGCTCTGGAATCTAAGAAAATTTCTTTGTTTTTCATTGTAGATCATTCTTGCAATGCCAAGTTGGTAGAGAAAAGCTTTGAAACAGGTAAGAGAGGGGTCTAACCCGGCTTTACACAATGTTGGGGAGGTAATGGGCCCAAGAACCCTCACTGGAGAGGGAAAAGGGTCTGGGGAATGGATCTGAAGATGAAGCAGCTGGAGAGTTCTCAGCTACTCAAAGCTGACCAGGATCTTTCTTGAATCCCTCTCAGCATATCTAAATTTTTTTTCCACTCTAAGTTCTTGGAGGGTGGATCCCCAGTTTTCCTAGGCCAATGACTCAGTCTTAGGTTTAGGCCTCTGTATTTATTTCAGCAGTTCCTGTGTCAGGAGAGCCAAAGAAAACAGCTGGGTGTCCAGCTGTGAAATTTCTGATTCCCTTCAACAGCGCCCTGAACTAGCCAGACACTTCCCTCCATAGCTGTGGAGGGGCAAAATGAGAAGGGTTGCTTTCTTTCAAGGGAAAGAGCCAAATTCACACAGGTTTAGACAGATCCTTTCTCTCAAGAACCCTGGCCACTACCTCATTCCCATATGAGTGATCACTAGTTGTCAGCCACTAGTCTCACCCGGGGGCCTAGGCCTGAAGGACTATGACTGTCCTGAGCACCTACCATCCCCAGTAGGACTCAGAAATAAAATAAGGACCAAGTCCAATTAGCATTTTTGTTTTGAAACACAATACTGTTGACCCAAGAGGAAAACTCACAGAAGCCCAAAGAGAGATAGGTCCAGGAATGGAGGCTCACCCCCATCTGTCCCTCCCAGCTTTGGGGGAGCTATTGGTAGGTACATCATGGGGAGCTGTGTGGAGGTGCACACACATAACATAACGGCTCTTGGTTTTACAGATATGAACCTAAACTTTCAAAACCTGATAGTGATCGGGCTCCGCATCCTCCTCCTCAAAGTGGCGGGATACAACGTGTTCATGACGCTGCGGCTGTGGTCCAGCTGAGGTGAGAGGCCAGCAAAGGAGGGAAGAAGAAGGGTGGGCATTGGGTCTCAGGGTGAGGCTCCAACTTCCCTATAGGAATTTGCTTTTAAATCCTAACACTTGCCCACAGAACTCTTCTCTTCCTTTTTTTCCTTTTTTTTTTTTTTTTTTTGGTGCCAATATTGGGGTTTGAACTCAGGACCTTACACTTGCACTTGACTTTTTCACCCAAGGCAGGAGCTCTACCATTTGAGCCATACCGCCACTTCCAGCTTTTTACTTGTTAGTTGGAGATAAGAGTCTTATGGACTTTTCTGCCCTGGTTGGCTTTAAACTATGATCCTCAGGTCTCATTCTCCTGAGTAGCTAGGATTACAGGCATGAGTCACCGGTACCTAGCTCTGTTCTTCCTTATTAAAAATTCCTTTTGTTAACAATGGCAGAAACATTTGGAGGTTTTTGTGTTTTTTAATTGTAATACATTCATTTTGGCCTCCTTGATCGAGCCATGCCTCCCCTATGAAGTACAAAGAACAGTTAGTTATTGGCTTCATTTTATTTTATTTTGTACAAGCACTGGGGCTTGAACTCAGGGTACAGATGCTGTGTCTTAGCTTTTTCCCCTCAATGCTAGTGCTCTACCACTTGAATCACAGCTCCACTCCCAGCTTTTGGCTAGTAAATTGGAACAGAAGTCTCATAGGTTTTCCTTCCAGGGCTGGCTTCAAATCATGATCCTCAGGTCTCAGCCTCCTATCAATTTAGAAATAAAATGAAGCCCAGTAACCTTAAGGACCACACAGCTAATGTGTGAAAGATAAGAGAAACTTAGCCACCAACTCATGTATGCTACATACCTCCTGCTGTACCTCTTTCTCTGTGAGGCTAAAGGGGTCCCCAGTCCCTTTCCTTGTGTCTTCTCTCCCAAGCATAACCCTCTCCGCTCAATATAAGAAGACATTATGCTCATTAACGTGAATCTTGTCTTGAGCCTTCATGCCCATCCCCCACCTAGTACAGATCAAGTTCTACAGCTTCGAGAGAGCTATCTCCATCATGTCCCTAAAGTGCTGGCCCTCCTCCCTATCCAGCCTGACTTCTGCTCTTCCTCACCTCAGGTTGGCAAGATGATAAGAAGATCCTGAGCTCCCTCCTTCATCCCTCCTCTTCTACCCCATGGAGAAGAAGGCTCCCCTCATGTCTCTGGCCTCCACGGAATCCCACCTGAATTTGCAATGAAGCTTGCTGGATTGCTGCTAATGACTACTGCTTTCCTTCTGTTCCCTCATGGCGGCTGACATAGTCAAGTTCATGTTCACAGCAAATGGGGAGGCTGCGGCAGCGTCTCCTGGCTGTGGAGGACCTCCCTGCCCTCTCCAAAGACTGCTTCTGTGCTTCCATTGAATAATGGGACTTCCATAGCATCTCCAGGAACTAGCATTCCTAGAAAATGTTATGAGCATTGATGGATTTTATTCAATAGTGTTCATAAAAATACCTTTATTACTGTTTCTCAAGATGTGGGGAAAGATGATCTCATTGTCTAGGCCCTCCCTGCTCCGCTATGTATCCAAGCTATACTTTGGATCATTCTGCTGCCTTTGACTTCATTAAAAGTTACTTAGAGACCAGAAACTGTGCCTCTGTTTCACTGGTTTGGTTGGGGGCGTTTTCTGCATGCAGTTGATCACTAGAGAGAAACCAAGGCACCTGTTCATTATGCTTTCCAGAATGCCTAACTTAAGATGTTTTAAGACAATCCCTTCTTGGAATACTTTCTTAAAAATTTCCACTTAATAAGCTAATGGCCAGGAAAACCTTCATCACAAGTTTGGAGCCATGCCCTTCCATTTTCATGACCCACCCCTGGGCCACCACCTCGTAGAAATCATTATACATGGTGCTAGTGATCTGTAGTTGGAATCTGGCAGGCAGAGACCACATAGCAAGTGTTCCCAAAATGGCACTTACTGCCCATCCAGAAACATCTTCACCTCTCCTCTTGGGATTGACTTTCCACAGAAACAGTACATTTTTCTGCCCCAGGCCTAGGCCCTTGAGGATACCAGTCTAAAAACAGAGCTGGAGGGAGGCGAGTCCCCATCAGGATTTTACATTTCCACCATCTTGGACAAGAAAATGAAGAAAGGGAGATACACTCTCCTCTCAAGCAAAGACATCCTCACCTCAGAGACAAGAGGTGGAGTCCCTGGGACCCCACAAGCTCTCCCCTAAACCTCTAACTATTGTGCCCTTCCCTCTGGGACAGAGGTTCTGATGCGAACACATCTCAGCGATGACTCAGTCACCCACCCAATAATACCTGACCAAGGCCAAAACCAAGGCCCAAAACTTCCTAAGGCCTGGAGGGGCTTCTTCCCCCAAATGTCTCCATGTCTAGCACACCATACCAGCCAGACATGTTCAAAGCCAGCCAGCTTCAATTCAGGTGTGCTTCCTCTCACAGGGATGGAACTATCAGCTTTAAAATGTGACCTGGTGCCTGTGCCCTACCTCTGTGAGCTTCAGAAATACAATATCTGAAAAGTCAGGTAGGGCAGGTTCCAGTGGCTCATGCCTGTAATCCTAGCTACTCAGGAGACTGAGATCTGAAGACCACCGTTCAAAGCCAGCCAGGATAGGAAAGTCTATGAGACTCTTATCTCCAATTAACCACCAAGAAGCCAGAAGTGGAGCTATGGCTCAAGCGATAGAGCACTAGCTGAAAGCAAAAAAGCTAAAGGACAACACTAGGCCCTGAGATCAAGCCTTAAGACTGCAACAAAAATATAAATAATCACATAGGACAGGAGGCTCCCCGCAGCTCCCTGGGTCTCCTATAGAAGTAAGAGCCATGGGGCTGGGAAGGTAGCTCAGTGGTAGAGCACTTGCCTTGCATGCTCGAGGCCCTGGGTTCGATTCCTCAGCACCACATAAGCAAAAAGGAAAAAGCCAGAAGTGGCGCTGTGGCTCAAGTGGTAGAGTGCTAGCCTTGAGCTGAAGAGCTGAGGGACAGCACCCAGGCCCAGAGTTCATGGCCCCATGACTGGACCCAAAAAAAAAAAAAAAAGAAGTAAGAGCCAGCACCTTGCGGACTGTCCAATTCTATCTACACTACCTGACCCTCAGCCTCAATAACATTCCTCTGAGATTACTAAAGGGAACAGTGGCCCTCTAGAGTGGCAATCAAAGTGGGGTCACTCACAGGAGAAGCCAGGGATTGTCTTTCAAAGGTGGTATTTGCCACCAGGACTTCCAGGGCCTCTTTCCTAAAACCACCTCCTCTGACACAGTGCCAGAGTTCCTACCACTGGGAATTTCTTTTAATTAAAGCATTCTCTTCTCTGTATTAAATGAAAATGCCCCTGGGAGGGTTAGTAGAGCAAGCCTTTATCAACCGTTAAAAACTCAGGGCAAATTAGTTTGTCTTTTTTTTCCCCTAAAGCGGTAATTCACTTTGTTCTGTATAAAACAGATCCAGGCAAGGAAAGTGTGGGTGGCTGCGTGTGGGTGGGGGAGACCTGCTCTGGGAATCAGCTACACTGAGGCTGAGGCTAAAGGACCCCCCCACACTCCCCACCCAGGATTGGAGGCAGGTGCAGGAGCCTGGAAGTCAGTGAATGAGCCAAACAGACTCTGCCATGAAGCTTGGAGGAGGCTCAGGCTAAAATAAGCCTAAGGAAGCCTGTAGAGCCTTTCTAGCCCAGTGCCCAAGAGTGGCAGGACGCAGATGTCACTGTGACCCTATGGCCATCTGAAGACCTATGCAAGGAGAAATGTTTTCCTCCTTCCCTCAGGCCCAGCTCAAGGTCAGAGCAAAGTGAAAAGACCTGGGCAGGAGAAGTGAGTCAGCTCTTCCCCCTTTGAAGACAAGAGTTGCCCAAACCCAGTGTTCCTCCATCCTGAAAGTGCCCCCCCCACCACCACCCCCATGTCTCAGGCACTAAGTCTGTAGCCAGTGAGGACAGAGGTCTCAGGGAGAGAACAGGAGCAGGTAGAGTGAAGGTGAATGCTGGGGACACAGGCATCATTTGACCGTTCTGTGCTTGTGTCTGGCTCTGCATGTTAAAAGGAGTCAAAGTGACTTGAGAGGAGGTCCAGGAGAAAGTCTCCTGTGCTCATTAGATTAGCTCTTGGGCTAACCCCACCATGGCAGAGGTCCCAGCTGTAAGGAACTAGGCATTGTTTAGCCTGGAGGGAAGCACGTGAGGAAACCTGGAGGCGAGGCCTCTCATAACCCCAACCTAGGACTCTAGAGGACTGTCTGAAACACCCCTCAGAGACTTGCCGTCTGAGTTGGCAGCACTGTCTAGTCCAGAAATTAGGCAGGGTAGGCCACTACTTCAGGATCATCCACTTAGGGTCATCAGCTTTGACAGAGCAGCTATTACCCTCCATAGATGCCATCTGAGTCTTAAAGTGTTAGCTTTGTTGGTTCACCTTCACCATCCAGTTCTCCTGGGATCACATAAGCCCTAATACCATCAGACCTCAGGTAACACTCAGAAAGGAAGTCCCTCTGACTGTGAGCCTTGGGACAGGAAGTATGCCTCATCCATCAGTGTGTCCCCCCAGTAGCTCACACAGTTGTTGGCACATAACAGATGTCACCAAATGAACCACGTGGCACTAGAGAGGAAGCTGAGTTTGAAGGGTAGGGAGGTGGGAAATACAATCTCAGAGAAAGAAAAGTGGGGATTCATGCAGGAAGAGGCCAGGAAAGACATGGTTTCAGTTATGCTAAGTGCAAAAAGTAACTTGGCAAGAAAAATCCAAACCTGAATGGTGAACCCTTGACCAGGGAAGACCGAAGGCAGTCGCTTTTCTACCCAACAGAGCTGGAAGACAGTTGTTCTGGGTGTGTGAGCACTAGTCATATGTGATCACACCAATACCCAGAGCCAAAGGGTATTTTTCCTGGTCTACTTTAGTCTCTCCATGTGACCTATTCTAAACTTTGTCTCCAATATGCCTTCTTCATCAACAACATGTGAGAAGGAGGGGTTCTGAATGCCATGGGAGAACATGGGGAAACAAGCCATGAGGAAAGCCGGTGCTGACATTCTCACTAATAGATGTGCTGATTGCTGGGGTAGTCTGAGGACCACCAGCCCTACCTCTGTCTGTGTCTAGGCCACCTGGCCAGTAAGACAGGCTTCAGATCTCCCTTTACTCATACACACATGTGCTGAGGGTTTCCTCTGATAGTACACATCCAGCTGCATTAATAAGCAGGTCAGACATTGAAGTCAGTAGCCAGAAGTAGAACAGGAAGTGGAAAAAGTCTCCCACTTCCTTGCAGGTGTTTGAGCCTGGGGCAGTCCCCTCCCATTTCCCTGACGTCATGGTGGCTGACAGGGACAAATAGGGTACCCTTTGAAGCTCTCCCACAGAAGCCACATCCTCTGGAAAGAAGAGTTAAAAATACAGAGTTAGAGATAACATCACCCCAAGCCACGTGCCAAGAGGAGGCAGGCTGGGCCGTTACACCACCACCCAGCCACAGGTGCAAAAAAAAAAAAGGCCACCAAAACACATAGGAGGGGCTGTTGGTCCCCCTGCTAAGAAGCCTCCCTCACCCCACCTCTGTCGCCCCAAGAATAGATCTCATTAGACACTCAGTACCAGACAGACTTTCAAAGCATCCACCCAGCCCAGATTCCCTTGAGAAGGAGGGATGGGACCTGTATCTGCCCCCACCTCCTACTCACACAATTGGGACTGATATTCTCTCTCTCTCTCTCTCTCATACCAGAAGTCCCATACTTGCTTGCCACCATCATAAACTAAGACTTAACTGCTGGAGGATGTGGATGTCTAACTCTCAGTGGCCAGCCGACCAGGATTTTGCAGGAGAGGAGCCACAGGACATGAGACCTTGAAATGAATGAAAACCACCAAGCTTGGATGTCTTGCTCTATAGTAGTGTTACCACATGCCCACAGGGGGGCAGCAGTGCTCCACCAAAAGGATCTCCCTGATTCTAGGGAAGAAAAATCCCTAAAGCTTAGGAAAATCTCTTTTCCAATGAAAATAAAATGGCAGGTGAACTTCATTTCACAAGGTCCTGCTCTGTGCTCGTCAGTGTACTGGGATCCTGGCCTATGTGATCCTGTTTCCCCACAGAGAAGGATCTAGGGCCACGGTAACAGGCAGCAGGGGGCACTGCTTGCCCAGAAGAACATGAGACCCATCTCTTTAAAGCCAGAGAAGGCACTGTCTTGAAGCCACCAGGGAGCTTCAGGTCAGAATCAGGGAGCCTGGCCAGCCTCCTACTCTGGACAGGTTACTAACCTCCCACCGTGTCCCAGTGACACACTCTCCAGGTAGCTTAAGAACCAAGGCTTTTTCTCACATGGTATACCTGTCGTGTGCCAGGCTCTGGAGTCTCTTCACAAACTATTGACTCCATACAGATGAAATTCAAGAACAGGCTAAAGGAAGCTCAGTGGTAGGTACTGGGATGCCAGTCATCTCCAGAGTAGAATCATGAGGAAGGAGCAGGAGGAAGTGTTCCTTGTATATGGAAATAATCTCAATTTTTATTTAGGTGATAGGTACGTAGAATGTACACACAGAAAAGTGCATCAAATCATAAACCTCAGACTCGTGCATTTTAGTGGGCATAAATTATA